GATTTTTTTATGGCAAAATATGGTTTATACACCTAAATACATTTATACATTATACTTAAGTAATATGTTTCATGGAGCTTGGTCTAAAGTATGCAATTTTCTTTTTTATTTGTTCAGAAGTTAAATTTTTTAACCACGTCCTTACATAGACAGACATTAAAATCTGATGACATTGTGACCTGTTAAACATGCTTTTTCAACTGTGTATTTACTAATCTTGTTTTTCCGTTGCTCCTAAGGCTGGGAGGTTGTTAATACCTCTGGGTGGACCTGCTACAGGTCACTGCTCATTGCTTTGCCACCAAATGTACCTAATTATGTAAGTAAATTGATATTACCCAATCTGCACTTCAGCTAAATGGACCTGTCACACATTGCTCATGCATTTAAGAGAGCTAACTTGCAGTGAAACTAATTTATTTTCCCATTAATCAACCTCACGTAACATTAGAAGCATATATGAATTTTGAATAAGAATTGGCCTGTTTTAGTATGCGTGATGTATTTTCACATATAACAATGTGCATGATAAGCCTTTCATTTTCCCAGGGGCTGTAATTAAATTATTGAGACAGGTTCTCCATTATCGCATGATTTAATTTAAGTTAACTTATCTGGACTCAAGGAGCAGCCTGAATTACATGTTACAAAAGAGTCGCTACGCTGCTGTGCAAATTGCCATTGAGAAAGCGTAAGTCTTTGTCATAGGCTTTAGAATGCTATTTTGTGACTCAATTTGGAGAGCTCTTTTCCCTCAGATATGGGCCTTTAGCAACTCGATGCAATATCATTCACCCTGGTTAAATAAAAGCCACAGTGGGCCTGCGCTTTTTGCTGCGTTTTTTTTCCCCCCATCTGCCGAGGAATGCCTGGAATGTGACAGCCCGGCTTCCACGGCCCTCATGAATTTTAAATGCTTTTCAAATTCAAAACAGGACACCCAGCGTGTGGTCAGTGGTGTAGGTATTATGGGATATTAGGTATCCCACAGATAATGACTGATCCGCCTGCCCAGGTGCATTTTTGGCCTTCTTTGCTTCTTGAGAGAAAATGGAGTGTTCTTCCATCCAAAAGATAACAACTGATCATTTTGTTACCCTGCATTAGAAAGAAATACTCTCTGAGTCCTTGTGCAAGGCCCACATCTAATGTTAAGAACCTCTAACTATATAAATGAGCCATTGTTTACCATTTTCTGTAGCAGTATAAAACATGTTTCCTTTAGATTGTTGTATTCCTTACGTTTTTAACCATTTTACACCCAGAAAGTCACTTTTTACATGCTGACAGTCTTCTCTGTGTCATAAAGTGAATTTAAACACTTTTAAAAAACCCTTTCTCATCAAGGGAACCACAAGCCAACAGGAATACATCACATGACTGTACCAGCAACCTCAGTATTAAACCAAAGCTTTCAAGCTTTTCAAATCCCCTGAAGTGTCGTTTGAAATTATATCTTTGGTATGCAGAATCTCAATTCATTTTTTGAATAATAGCCTGTGGATGTTCTGACGGTTGTGTCTGGCATGCCCGTGCCGTGGTTCTCCCGTAAGCCTAAGCAGAGAGCAAAATATGGAGGTATAGATGTAAAGAGGAGTGACCTGGAAACAGACTTTCTCCGTCATTAACGTCTTGGTGTCACAGTGGAGTCCAGGGAGACACTGAGCTGGCACAGTGGGATGTGTGGCTACAGCTAAGGCGATGAGAATCAGCGCTCATTTATTAAAATTGAGGCAGTATCTTGTAAAAGTTCCAGGCAAGGTAAAATAGGGTAATTGTTTTTCATTGCTGTATAATAGAAAACCAGGCCAATTATGATTCCAACAGCACAATGCATGGCATTTATTTGGGTTTTTATTGTCTAGAAAGGCTATTAATTTGATTGACTGTAGAGCAATTATCTAGATTATGCATTGTTTTCTCTTATAAGGAATAGGGCCCATGTTACTATGAAATATGGAGCAGTACAGTAGTACTACAGTACTCATTTGGCATAGACACATAATGTTCACATTGAAGGATGCTGGAATGACGTATGATGTTAATGTTAACTGATAAAGATTGTGATAAGCATAACCGTAATTAGAAAGAAGCTATATTGTTTAATTCCAAGATGGTGAAGATTATTAAATGATATATGCTTGGGAGTAACTACTATTTCCTTAAAGTAAATCAATATCGATAACATTGTTGATGGAGAGGAGTTGATAGATGAGATGCTGATTTCCACCTCTGACAAAATAGCTACCAGGTGCTCAACGTGCCATTTGATGCCATTATTGTGTCCCATTCATATAAGTCAAAGTATCCTACAAACTTAAATGACAGGAGTTATTAGAATGCACTGAAATATGTCTTAGAGTACAATGTTGTATAAATGAGGTCTCCCCTACCCCCCTGTCTAATTTGAGATAAATTACACTAAACAACGTCCCTGTTTGATTCGGAATGTGGACGTTGAGTAACTTGCAGGACTCCTGAGCTAAAAGGTTGACTTGGCTTTTGTTCAGGATTGTTTCAGGGGGAAAATTCATTCCACAGCTTAGCCTCAAAGCCAGGCTTTCGGGTCAGTGGAGAGAGAAGCCTAGAGGAAAGAGTCACACATATGGGAAGCTGAAATAACAGCTCCAAGCAGCCACATAGCAATACCTAACATTACTACAGGATTATTATGTTCACTGTACTGCAGTGAGCTGCAGAGTAAACTACTCTATTAGAAGTGAATAGGGCGTGGTAGGTGATCTGCCAACACTGCCTTCTTTTGCGGAACAAGAATTTCATGTAGTTCTATTTGGACAACAGAATGTTCTGTCAGTGGTATAATTTATTTGTGCTGAATACTTCGATGAACTTTTGTCCACAGCTAGTTGACTCCATTATGTGGATGGGTATTTAACAAAACAAATCTAGATGTTTGCCTTTTATGGTGGCAGAACTCTACCAAACTGCTCATAGGTGTGTGTGAGTGAATGGTATGTGCCGTGCAAAGGGCTGGGACCCCATCCTGGGTAATTCCCTGCCTTGCTCCTGTAGCTTCCAGGATAGATTCCAGACCACCAATGACCCTGAATAGGACAAGCAGGTATAGTATGGTGGCAGAATTCATTTAGGGACATCTAACAAACAACTTGAGGTCTTATTTGCGTCTTAGTTTTTATATTTTAATCGCCATTATTACACGGCTCTCTGGAATGCTTGATTCTGATTGGTCAGTTGAGACATTTGCAGGTTTGTTCTTTTCAAATAATAACCGCTCCAAAGTAATAACGCATAGCCGGTACTACTTGTATGTTTGAAATCCCTCCGCGCCAACAAAGATTACCGTTTAAAAATGTTAATTTAAAACAAATATGCCAATAAAATGTTTCAAATTCATATTCATGTCCAGTTTTTTTCCTTATGTGGCAAGTAGCCGTGTAATAAGCGGTTGCCTGTACATTATCCCTCACGTAATGTACAGAGGATCAGTATAGCAGAAAGTGAAAAAGCAAACCACTTGATTACATAACCTATGATGGCTGATTCTGATGAAGTTTGGTGTACATCTGTTGAATTTAATGTTTGTGAAATTGTAGCTTATTTGTTGTTTACCTCAATACTTTGCCTTTTTTAGGTTGTTGGTTAGGGTTAGCTGCAGTTCGTCAGACTTCAGCATCATAAGTGCATCTTGTGCATTATTAGTTTCTTTGATGGATACATAATTATACCCAATTGCATCTTGAACACTGAGAAAATTACACATGCAAACATAAAGGCATCTCTTGAACATGCAGGAAAGAAATGAAAGATCCAAGCCCCACAACTCTTCCCAGTTCATCATTGCCTGTTTTGAGGTATTTGTGTGGTTAACTCCTGAACTCTGGTGGTATGGACAAGTTGTGTCCCATAATGCTGTAGGAAATGCCTTTAGGGTGATGCAATTGCTATTCCACAAAATCTGGAATGTTCCTGCGGAGCATGCAGCTGTGATAGCAGCAGCTCCTGTGTGCCACATGGGGTGACTTGAGCAGTGTTTGTGCTTGGTGACTGAAGAGAAGGTCCTGATAGAGGAACAGAACCCTGGATTTCATCAGCTAGTACAGAGTGGTATTGAAACTTAAAATATTCTGTCTTATTTCTTGCAAACCCTAAAATCTGAAGCTGGATTCTATATTTACTGCAGCTACGCAACAACGACGGTGTAATTAATTAGGAGATGTGTGCATGAGAAAGATATAGAGTGATAATATACTTTTCTAGATCATAAAACATGGCAAATGATTTTTTTAGCAATGTCGAAGGAATGGGTGAAGCAAAATCTTTACTCCGAGCTTATCTGATTTGTCATGTTCCTTATGTCCGGAAGTTATTGTATATGTGTGCTCAGGAAAACATTAGTGTCCTAAATGGAGGAGAAGGAACTTTGATTGCCCTTAAAATTTCTTTAAAGACTTATTTTTCTTCACCTCAGAGTGTTGTTTACACAGGTGCTGTCTTATCTGTGCCAGGAAGTCAAATGTTTGTCCAAATCACTTAATGGTCTTCCAAAAAGGCTACCTCATCATTGTATAAATGTGAGGAGCAGCTCTAAATGAGTCTGGCCTATAGCGCTGCCCACCTTGGTGACTTAATACCTTGGCTTAGCCCTTTGACTATATCCAGAGACAGACTGACCTTATTGCATGAAGTGTGTATGGGGGAAAAAGTCTTACTTTACAATTTACCTACTTTTCTGACCCCTAAAGTGGAAGTATTAAATAAAGAGCAACCTTGTGGCATTTGTCAAACAGCTGTTTTAAGGAAAGAGAGAATGCAACAAGTAGCACAAAGCTACTTATTTATTTATATTTATCATCTCAGACTTTCTAGCCAGGAAAAAGTCTTGGTTCTGATTATTAGTTTTGTTGACACATAACTATATTGTCACACTTGCTTAATGTTCTCTTCCACGGAAGCAGATTTTGCTAGAGAGAAATGTGTATTTGCAATGGTGCTAATCCAGAAACATGCTTTTTTTGCAGACCAAAGCCATGAAGAGTGCCCTGCAAGAGCTGAACTTCAAAATTGTAGAAATGAAGGATGATACTGCCACCTTGGACGGGGGAGATGTACTGTTCACAGGTGCAGGACTATATTACTTGGCAACATGGAGTACAGTACCATAATCTGCTCATATAAATAGTAAATACTGCAGAATATTGGTCTCACTCTTCAGTAACAAAGTGTTCCACCTTAACATCTTGCAGTAGAAGAAGAGCTTCAAAATATTGCAAGCATCCAAATATCTGGACATTTTGTAACAGTTCCGCTGCAAATTAAATGTGGCTCATTCAGCCTCAAAAGGTTGGAACGCTCACAAGTACACCTAATTGGGTTGCTAGACGTTGTTTCCTTTGTCTTCCTCTTGGTAAAATTAGTTTCACATGACAAGGCAAAAATGCTAAACGTTTTGTGTCGACCTGAACTCATGAGCTGAAATTGCCTAGCAGCTATACCTTTTGGCTTTTCAGCATCAAGCGTCAGTTTTGTACTGTGCTGATGGAAGGTATCCTGATCTGTGCTCTTTCAACTGTGCAGGGAGAGAGTTTTTCGTCGGTTTATCCAAGAGGACCAACCACCGTGGGATAGAAATCCTTGCAGGGGCATTCAAGGTCAGATGGTTCTGCTGGATTTAATTTATTCAGTTCATAGTCAGTCTCTGACCTCTACCTTCGACATGGCATATAAGTACAGTTCTGGTGCATATTTCTCAACATTGTTCATGAGACTTTTGGCTAAAATAGTTATATCAATTTTCATTTCTTACTCTTTATTCCCAGTATATATAAATTATGATGGCTGTTTTAACTACAATGGCTGTTTTAAGCTTCTATTTTTTCACTTTTGTGCCAAGTTGGAATGAAGCTGAACAAGCAACTCTATAGTTAGGTTGAAGCCCACACACTTGGGCTCAGGACAGATGATAGTAGAAAAACTGCAATGGAGCAGACCCAAATTTAAATGTTTACTTTACCCATTTCCCCCCTATTGTCTCTGTTGTTTCTGAAACCATTTTGTCCTTGATGAAATTTACAATACTTTTCACTTTTTATGGATTTCATTAGCAAAATTGAAAATGCAAAATGAGATTTTGGTTTTCCTCCATTACTTGCAGCAATGTGTGCAGTAAGATCAAGTAAATCAAGTAAGTTACTGTCATGACATACGAGACGAAAGACTCGAGGACCGATGTTGTGGCAACACAGGAGGGGTTTCATTGAACTCAATGAACAGAGACTGGAAATAAACTGGATTGTGAGGGATCAAAACGATAGGTCTGTAACAAGGGAGGGCACAGGCAATAAGAAGGATTGACATCAATGACTGGACTGGGGATGACAAGACAAACAAGTTCATAAGTATTAACAATGGGCTAACGAGAGACAGCTGGGAGTGATCTCCACATGGAAGTTAGGGAGAAGATGGGGAGGAGACAGGCAGGGATATCACAGTTACAAAATTACAGCTCTGCCTATACTCTATTCTTAGCTAATGATTATATGATGTGACATGAGTTCACATGAGGTGCTTATATATATTTTTTTCTTTTTTTATTACAAAGGTTTATTTAAAGATGTATCATTTATTATAAAGTGTTTCACCAAATTTAAAGCAAATTTGCAGGAATCCTCCAGAAAGCCCTTAGATTCTTGTAGATGTTTTTCGTTTGATTTCTGATTTAGTACAAGTATTATATTAAATCAGATTCATTGCATAAGGTACAGAAATACTATATAACATTAAAACATTCCTCTAATACCACTAGACAAGTGGACGTCATTTTGAGACACACTGAGCCATGAATGGGGTTTCTAAATATGTCATTTGGACAGAGCATTCTTGTGTGCCTCACCCAGTAAGATCTTGTGTTGCAGGACTACCCAGTGTCCACATTACCTGTTTTTGAAGGCCTGCACCTGAAGAGTTTCTGCAGCATGGCAGGGCCAGATCTAATTGCATTTGGCTCCAGTGAACCTGCTCAGAAGACATTGAAGGTATAGAGAGAAATTTCCAGCACTTGGCCGACGCTAACATATGCAGATGTTCCCAGACGGGTATCAGAACATGATTTCACTTTTTGTATTGCATCTAAGAGTTGATGTCCGTGTAACATTTAATATATTTTGCAGGCATGGTGATGTCTATATATAAAAAAGAACAGACGGCAAAGGACACAAGGCTTGGGGACACTCTAGACATCATTGCAGACCACCACAGGGCACATACTGTACACTATTGGCAATCTAGAGATACCAGTTACCCCCCCCCCCCCATATTACAGTCAGCCATTAATAACTCTTTATTGCATTTTTATTATAGAGCAGGGGTCACCAACTCCGGTCCTGGAGGGCTACTATCCAGTAAGTTTTCTATCCTACCTGGATTCTGATGAGCCACAGTAGTTCTCAGGTAAATACCAGGAGCAGGTGTGGCTCATCAGAAGCCAGGTAGGATAGAAAACTTACTGGATAGTAGCCCTCCAGGACCGGAGTTGGTGACCCCTGTTATAGAGGATATATCCCTTAATTGATACTCCCTTATGTCATTGTTTCCCAACCCAGTCCTCAGGGGCTCGGGGAACTGGGATGGAGCAAAAACGTGGACTGTCTGGTGGGCCCCGAGGACCGGGATGGTAAACACTGCCTCCCATGATGTGCTCATGGAAGATGTTGCTGCACTGAATATCTATAGATACCTAATTTTTATATTCAAAACAGAAAGAATTTATGGCCAAAAGTGGTATTGTACAGACCAGGGGTGGGCAATCTTATCCGCAAAGGGCCGGTGTGTATGCAGGTTTTTGGGGCAACCTTTAGGTCAGCTGTTCAAACCCAGGTGTGAGGACTCTTCAGCCAATCAGTCCTCTAATTAGTAATATAATTAGGGAGCTGCAGCGAAAACCCTTTGCGGATAAGATTTCCCACCCCTGGTACAGACAAAGTCAAGGTAGTATGTAAAATGGTAAGTTAGATAAAATGCATTAGAATCTGTAGACAGATTCACCACAGCGTTTTTTTTAAAGAAGGAATGACAGGCCAGAGATATAGGATTCATCTGTGTCCTGATTTTATAATGACTATGAGAGCTTTGTCAGTGCTGCACAGATGGGCAAGACTGGGGACATACTGTATCCATTTCAAAGGCCATATCAATAACAGGCGAACAATGATGTGTCCGCTATTATGTCATTCCCTGCTAACACACTTATGTCTGACTGAGTTTATCTGGCCTCTGGCTGTCCTTCTTTGATCTTTACTGATAACTGTAGTGTATTGAATTAGTATAACAGGGATATGATCTGCAAGGACAGATATACATTCCCTTGGAAACTTAAATACCAGTTATATATACCTTCATAAAATGGTAGCCATGAAATTTAGATAACTCCCCAACCTCACTAGGTTTTTTGTTAGGAATATTTGAAGTTTTACCTTTAAAACTGCATTCAAAAGATTATGAATTCCGTATTTGTTATGTTAAGAAGTACTCAGATGAAATCCCATTTCTATAGAACTAATTAATGTAGTAGTATAGTCTTCCATTCTTCACATGTAGTACAGTCTTGAATTCTTCACATGTAGTATAGTCTTCCATTCTTCACATGTAGTACAGTCTTGAATTCTTCACATGTAGTATAGTCATCCGTTCCTCAAATTGTTCACCAGCTACTCATTTGCTTTTGTATTTTTTTGTGCCAAGTGGACAGTAAGTCATGGGACCGAGCTGTGAGTTATTTCATGGTATACTTGCAGTAGCAAAGAGCACTGCTTTTAAAAATATAGTACATACTACAGTGGAAGGACAATACATTTTTACTTTTCTACTTGTATAAATGAAAGAATAAACAAAACCTTGAGGTAAAATGGATGATTGTCTTTTACTGTTTTTACTTCACCACGTGCCAGTCAGTTCCTAAAATCCAGTTACTTTCTCATTTTTTGATGTAGATTTTGCAGCAGACGGGTGATCATCATTATAAAACGCTGATATTGCCCGATGACGCAGCTGCTAACTGTGTGTTCATGAATCTATCTGGAAAAGGACAAGTGTTGCTGCACTGTACACCGGAGGAGTACCCAAACAGTGCCAAGGTAAGGTTTATCACGTTCAAACTTTTTACCCGATAATTCACCTGAAGCAAATGCTAAAAGCATCTTGTAGTTGGGGTTGTACTTCACAGATTGAGCTCTGGGACCCAGGTCACAGCTTGAACTTGGTTTACCTTTGTTCTGCTGAGGAAGAGAGTAAATCACCTTACTGTTTGTTGCAGTGTTTCATACGTCTGTGAGTTATTTTTTTTACTAGTGATGTAAATATTGCGTTACTTCTGAAAGATAAGCCAATGTACATAGAATCTGCTCATTCATAACATGAAAAGATGGAAGATCAGGTAGAAACATGAGTCAGAGCAGCAATAGGTGCTCTGTCCTTTTTTATAAAAACAAAATTCTGTCCATCCACTCATCAATATTCTATATTGTTGGGAGCCTGGATCCTATTCTTAGGAGCACAGGGCATGAGGCAGGGAAAAGAGTAAGCAGTGGTAATTTCATAAGTAATGTGTCTGTTTATTCAGAAAAAGCCAGAATATGTAATTAAATGAGCTTCACAGTTTCTGATCATTTGAGGACACTAGAACAGATGCTGTCAACATGCAGCAGAATTACTCTGGTTTTACTCTATAAAACGGCAAGAAGAAATAGGCAACTTAGTTTTGTATTTGTTTAGGCCTGTGAAATGTTTGCTAAAATGGTTCTTTCTCAACTGAAAAAAATCACCTAAAAAAATAATGGTGGGGGAGGGGTAAGATTTTTGAATGTCCAACATTCTAAGAAGGTAAAATATATAAAAGCTTTAAAGTACATCTTACTCATTTAGAAAAATATAAATATTCTTTTTTACTTAAGCTAAGGGTCAGTTAAGACAGAAAATAAGCCAAAAAATGTAATGGAGTGATGTTTTATCTAGATAGCCTCATGGCTTCATTTTCCATGGCATGGAGCCAATTTGAAGGTTCAAGCATGTCTGGTGGCTTCTCTTAATGCAAAGCATTTTTACTAAGAACCCTCTGGCTGTGTTAAGTTCAGCTATTATATAAGTGCCCTACATTTAACAAATTCAGGTATTGGTTCAGAGTGAATTACTTTCAGTTTGCTGGGGGTTTACAAGATTTAGCAAGCATGTAACAATGAATTATATCACTTCAGAAGGGTTTTTTTTTCTACCCCTAGCAAACGTAAAGTTCATATTGAAATTAGACCCCAGCTGAAAAGCACAGTCACCCTTCTGGAAGCTGTTTGAGGACATTAGTTTAGTAATGTAATGTTGAGGTCTGATAAAGAGTTTCCTCTTGCCAGTGTCCTAAGTGCTTTATTTTAAGTGCAATAATAGCGACATTGGGACTCCTTACATCATAGGTTTGGAATTTGATTATAGTTATAACTTGTGGACTTACTGCTGTGCAGACCCAGAAATGTGAGGAACTATTCCTTCTTGGAAGAGCGCAAGGAAAACACTACTTCTCATCTGGAGGACCTCCAAACAATGACACATTGGTTTATAAGGATTTTTTTGAGGTGTTGTAACATCTTTCACTTTTGTTAGAGATTAAGAGAGAGGGAATACCGAGGTTTCTAGATAGACTTTTGCTACTGCTGTCAAGTATTACAATTCTTGTGAAGTTGTTTTTGACTGCGATTCACAGTGTTTTTGACTTTAATGTTGTTACACAGACAGACTGCCGGCCTTTTTTTTTTCCAGGTTTTCGAGAGGCTTACGGACCACCTTCTCTTTCCGGTCCCAAACAGTGAGATGTCCAAAGTGGATGGTGGTCTGTCTTGCTGCTCCGTACTCATCAGCAAGACGGGAAGCTGAATGCGCTCATTGAGATGTCCATGAAACTCCTGGTTACCGTGCATTACTTATAGGTGTCATAATAACAAAAACCATATTACATACTGAGTTCACTCATTAATAGTCCTTGACAGCTGTATGTGCTATTTGCCTCAGTTGTTTGGCACTAAATCAATGTAATAAACACAGTGTTGCTAAATCTAACATTTTAAACAGGCGGTACCAGAAATTACGAAATTACCTAAGATGCTAAAAGGCCAGAAAGCCCATTACACGTTCCTAGTTGTGATCTAAAGTTCTGTCATATACATTGTCGGTTTTTGTTTAATTTACCCCATCTTGTATTTTTTATGACACTTTTCAAGTATCTTATGCTGCTCTGTGTAATAACTGACGCAAACCTGATTTATAATTTGTTCTTGAAAGATTTCAGACTTCTTTTGGAAAATTGGGACATAATCACAGGTAGAAACACTTAGAGTTTATAATGCTTGCACATTATACCTTCTGAATCAGCCACCATGATTAAGGTTTGTAAAGTATGTGATAAAGTAGTTGTGTGAAAATGAAATTCAGTTTGGGGTGTTTAGTCCTTTTTTATCTCTTGAGTGTTACTAATATCAAGTAAAGTTTTTGTTCTGTCGCATCCGTATCCTTGAACGTTTCCACAACCCATTTGATTTAATCAGCTATGAAAATTAACATCCACGCAAATATATATATATGAGAATGTATATTAATGAGTGAATTTTTTTATTCATATATATATTCCATCATTTTTTAAGGTCGCTTGATGTCATCCTATGATTCATGAGGAGGCACTGTTGGATAAGCTGCCCGTCATCACTGGCATTAGAAAGTCGCTTTTGCCTTCTACCTGGCTGGTTTTTCTTCGGTCCCAGTGTCTCCATGTTGTTCTTGCGTCCTACTCTCTTAGAAGTTTTGAGCCTGGAAGCAACCTGCCGCTCAGTTTAGCCTTCTGCCAGAAGATCCAGGATTTAAGCAAGATTTAACAATGCAGATTCTTAAAAGTTATGGAGTGGTTTCAATTTTTTCCAGAGATACGTGTGTGTGTGTGTGTGTGTTGTATATATTTGTTTTTTCTTCCCCCGAGGGACCTTGTCTATAATCAACTTTTACAAACTTGCTGTAGTTCAGCTGTGGAAATATGTTTTTACATATCTTAACGTATTTTCATTTAAGAGCAGCTTTTTAGCTTATAAACACCTTTTGTCCTTGTCTGGTAGTTTATGACAATGACATCATACAATCTGGCAAAGATACAAAATGACCAGCAGTAAAAAAAATGAGGGGGAAAATCATTTTAGACTGGAGAAATAGATATTACGTGAGGTGTTTGGCAGAGGGAATGATGATGACATAATTGCCTTTTATTCGACGGCGAGGTCATGCAGTAAACTGTGCCTCAGATGCTGGCTCAGTGCTTTCGGTCACAGGGCTGAAAATCATACTGGCTAACCACAGTGATTTGTTGCGCTTCTGCACTGTAATCTTGTGCCATTGCGAATAATTAACAGGCAGGGATAATAATCCATTGTAAATCGTTAAAATGTAAAAGGTTTAATCCTAAAATTAGTGCTAATGTTATGTTAGTGTACAACAGTGTCTGCCCTGTGCAGTTGCTATGTATTGCAACATATTGGCATTCAGTATACAGGTAGTTCTCCCTGTATGAGTTTATATCTTCATGATAATTTTATGAGGCAAAAATAAAAACTTCTTTTTTCATGTGTGTGTGTGTGTATTCATGTGCAATCCCAAAAAACACTTGTGGCCCGACAAAGTTTTCAGACGACTTTGCTTTGTGAAATATCTTTGCAAGCCTGATTTTTACATCTGAGCATTACACTTGACGGCCTATTTTACGACGGTGCCCGATTTGAAACACTTCTTTTGACGATCCAACCTTATCCTGTCCATTTTACGTCGCGTTTGTGAGTGATCTCCACCAGCCCAACATGGGATACGTTAAGATAAAGACCACCGCATTCGATGAAAATCAGAGCGACCAAAATTGACTGTGCATGTTACAATTTTAGCAAAGAAGTATTTTTTGTTTTTCTCCAAGGATTTTTTAATGTACATTTTGATTAAATGTTAGGCTAATTCTACTAATAAGTTTGTGTTTCCTTTGTTTACTTGGCAAAAAAAAAAAAATGGCTGGAACCAAAGTTATCATTTGTGTAACATTTCTATGGGAAAATACCTCCCGCTTTATGAGTTTTCCTTAAGTTGAGAACTACCTATAGGCCTATACAGTAGTAGGGTTTCTCAGACTTTCCTATCACATGGCCCAGCTATTCATCATTTTTCATGCCTGACCTGAGAAATATTTTATCAAAACACATTTTTGTCGATATCAGTTCATATCAATAATTACTAATTCATTATTTCTATTTACGTTACTGGGCTAAGTCGCTGTATCATGTAGGCCTATATAACCCATCCCTCGGTAAATTTCGCCAATCCGGAAATTTTCCCTGGTGGTGATTGGGCAGGAGTCCGTGGACATTACAGTCACGTGGCCTAGTGTTTGAAAAACACTGGTTTATGGGTTTTAGATTTAAGCATGTGGTCTTCCATTATTACTCTGTTTTTTCATTTGAAAGTGGCGCCTACTTCACTTGTTTGACTGTATTTATCACTGGAACTGAAAAGACACCATACATTTCCTTATTTCTTATTTTGTCAATATTCTCCATACTTATTTTTCCTGTTTATTCAGTTGGTCTGACTGAGTGAACAATTTATGATTATAATATTAAAATATTGTATTATATGAATTTGTATTTATACTTTGTATTCATATTATTCAAATTCATATAACTTTAATCCATTTTAACTGGCATGTTTTGTAAAGTTTAATCGGGTTAAAGATATGTCGTGGCATTTAACTGGTCAATAGATTACAAGTACTACAGGCCTAATCAGTCCTAAATAATAAGAAAGTCCCCTCGCTACCTGAGTACATGACTGTATGGTGTTAGTACTCCCCCTAACGACATTAGTTGGTAAGATTGGGAGATGATCACGCCTGAACAACTCATTTTTTTCTTCTTAAAATGAAACCCATTACCGGCCGGATGATGTGAATTCAAATAAAACTTCTGAAAATTTGACTTCTAAGTATAGTTCCATAAGTGAGACCATTCTCGTTTCCACAAAGTTTCTTTTAAACTATATAAGACCATTGCGAGCATTCAAAGGTAGCCTACTTGATTTAATTTTTCCCACATGATGTACTAAATTCGGTATTCTTTGCCATGAATGTATTTAAGCCTTCCATTTACGGCTTAATTAAAACTTTACACAGTACTTTACCAGTTGTAGGAAGCTGCAATTAGACGTTAGTCAATATACATTTTACAAGGGGCGAATTCTTTAAGAAGATTACGTTTAAGATTAGATTATTACGTTTAAGATTAGATTCTTTTTATGTCTACATTTTTGCCTTCTGAGTAAGCTTTACATAATCCTGCCACAGAAAAAAAAAATAAGCCTTTACATATTGAAACCATCTATTTTACAATTATATGTTAGAGTTTGAGCATTCTTTCGCAATACTTTTTTGCTTTTAATTTTCTATTCATTGGTTGTCTATAGAAGAGGGAGACATGTGCAATTCAATCTAATTCAATTATTATGTTTTTCTACCGTTCAGGAGGTAATAAAGTCATTGGTTAGTACAAAACCTCAGCGAAAGATCGATACGCAAAGAAAAACATTTTTGACCCAATACGCGTACCGTCCTTATCCAACGTCATTACGTAAAACGTATCACTGGAACGTCTTCACCTTCTTTAGCTTAGCTAGGTGGTCTGAGTAATTCCGCAAATTATTCAGTTTTTATTATATACGTAACATAACTGGTAGTAAACTGTTACCGAGGACTGAATACTAAGAATCTAAGAGTACGTTTGACTGTCGCCAGTATGAGTGAAAAGAAGAAAACAGAAAAGGACCCACTTCATTACTTTATGAGTAATGACGATCTTAGCGGCAGTAGCAGCGACAGTGAGTCCGAAACAGACCGAGAGAAGCTGAAGAGAAAAGGGACCGGGTCCGATCAGCGGGGCAGCGGGGAGGAAGCCCACGGCACGAAGCGAACGGCAAGCGGAGCGCCTTTACCAAAGCCGGACGTCCTCTTTAAGTCTGTGTCCAAGCCTGCGTTTTTATACAATCCTCTGAATAAACACATAGACTGGGAAAGCCGCATTGTGAAGGCACCCGAGGAGGTATGAACGGGAAGCGGCAGTCGCCAGGTTTATGAGGGTGTGCTAGTAGTTAATCGGCCAGTTTGAACATCATGTGGCCTTAACTGGATGAATTTAGTCATTCCCCTGAGAAAGAATGTGGGTTCCTCAGTAAAAATACATTATAATATGATATTTCTGAGCTCTGGAAGGTATGTGTAAAATGACAAAATTCATCCAAACCAAAAATCTTTACGAAAATAAAATGTTAAATTGTAAATTGGTTGAAGTAAAACGGAATGACATCGTTGTAACAACAACAATAATAATAGTTATAATAATAGTAATATATAGCAGATGCTTCACCGTAATTAAATGTGAGATATTTTATGACAGCTGTTGCCTTGCATACAGTGCAGTGGATAACAGTGCAAGTTCCAAGATGACATTTTAACATTTTAACTCAATGTGTAATAACTCTTCTGCTCTCTCTCGTTGCTGCGCAGCCAGCAAAGGAGTTCAAGGTCTGGAAGACGAACGCAGTGCCACCCCCACAATCTTACACTCCAGAAGTAAAGAAGACTGCACCACCTGGCATGGACATGGCTATAAAATGGTCCAATGTCTATGAAGATAACGGCGACGATGCCCCACAGGCTTCTGCTGGGAAGGCTATCTTCCTGCCAGAGGAGGAGGCGGTGGATGATCCATGTGATTCAGGTTGTATTTGTTCACTATTCCCACACTTTAGGCACCAGTACATGGACTGCCTTTACATGGTCTTTAGTTAACAAGAAAATGCTTAGCTTTAATTTATCCAGTACAGGGTGACGGTGAGCTTGAAGCCTATCCCAGAAAGGGATGAGAGGGACGAGGTTGAGGACATACAGGGCTGGATACCAGGCCATCACTGGGCACACACTCATACAAGGGCAATTTGGACATTATAGTTGAGCTAAACTGTTTTTGGACTCTGTAGGTGACCTGTGCAAACTCCACACAGAGTGTCAGCGCCAGGAACTTGACACTCAAGTCCTTGTCACATTTCCTTAGAAAAGACTCTCTAATGTCCCACTTCTAAAGGGGGTGTGGCAGCATGAGCATTGTGGTATTACTATATATTGCAAATTTTATTTATGTTTGAAAAAAAAACAAACAATATGTTCTGTGTCCACCAAGAAGATAAACAATTCACATTGCAGTTTTGAGCAATAATGAGTTCATGAAATCAGTAACGCTGTTCGACATGTACATTTAATAATCGTTTAGCATTAATGTGTCTGTGTCCTTAGATGAGGATACGAAGATGGATCCAACCAGGTCCACAAAGAAGAAGAAAGTGGAAAGCTTTCAACAAAAGGAGAAGAGGAAGCGAGATCTTGGGCAGGCCACATCGGACAAAAGCTTTGTGGAGGAGGAGAAGAGAATCCTCAGGCAGAACTTCTGTTAGGTGCTATGCTGGTTTAAACAGTGACTGTGACGTGTCTCTCAGGAGAGCAATCCTGCCTCCAGCATCCACTCTTGCATCTTTATGTGGGGGTGGGGGTGTTTGTGTCTGTATTTGTATTTTCAATAGTGGAGTGTCAGGTCTTACACTGATTTAAGCAGTGACTGTAGCGTCTTTCCCTGAGAGTTAGTCTGTCACATGCATTTATGGTTTTCTGTGCTTATGTATATGCAAGAACATATGTGACAGACATTAAAATTCAGGGGCTACTATTTAAGTGGTGGTATTTCATGCATTTTGAAACTTTGTTGTTTAACTTTTTTTTTTCTTTGTGAGACTTAAAGTGATCAGAAGCATTGTGTAATTAGGCCTCTGGCAAATCAAGCATTTAAATATCCATATATGTTTTTTTTTATGTGGAGTTTTGAAAGTGTTGTTCTCATTTTTGTGATACCTGTATAATTTCAGTGTAATTGTTTGCTGGATATTGGTTACATCATTACATTTTCTGTTCATTGGAATGGAATAATCTTAGTAGTTTTACTGAGCTAGTCCACCAGGTGGTGCTGTTGGACCAGTGTGCGTATTGGTTCTTTAAACTGATTCTGGATCCACACCATGCTTGAGTTAATTCTTGTTAACATACCGTGGTCACATTGTCTAAAAGGAGTTATTGTTTGGAATGTTTTACTGATGTAAAGTGTTTTCATATCATTAGATATTCAATATATTCTGTTTTTTAATACCTTGAATTGAATTGAGCAGTGGTCTTCAAAAATCCCTGTCCAGTTTGTTTCATGTTGTACAGCCAATAACACCTTTTTTAGCATTCGCTCGTAGTGTAACCATGGACAATGGAGAAGCACAGAGATTTGAAACTGAAATTCAGCCCCATTGTACCACCTGAATTTCAGGCATCAGTCACCCAGGAAATATACCCTGCATTATAATAAAGGTTTGCTTCATTAAATTTTAGGATGTTTCTCCTTAGAAGTAAGCAACAAAGTATTAATTTTCACATGTTTTTTTTGTTGTTCTGTTTGAGGTGAACTCTGAGTCTTTGGATTAATATATAATATGGTGAAAAT